TAAATTTATTTAAAAAAAAAAATCCCCTTCAATGAAATTTTTTTAATTGAATTTAGTGGTTGGTTTCCCCCTTTATTTTGAGGTTTTTAAATATCATACATTTAAAAATCAATCCTCCAAGTTAAAATTTTAATTAATTAATTAATTTCCCCTTTATTTTAATATTTTAAATAGCATAAATTTAAAAATCAATGCCCTTAAATTGAAATTTAAATTAATTAATTAGTTATTTTCCCCTTTATTTTACTATTTTAAATAGCATCAATTTAAAAATCGATCCCCTAAATTAAAATTTTGATTTAATTAATTAATTTCCACTTTATTTTGATATTTTAAATAGCAAAAATTTAGAAATCAGTCCGCTTAAATCGAAACCTAAATTAATTACTTATTTAATTTCCCCTTTATTTTGATATTTTAAATAGCATCAATTTAAAAATCAATCCCCTTAAATTGAAACTTTAATTAATTAATTAATTAACTTCCCCTTTATTTTAATGTTTTAAGTATCTCCTTGCCCTGTCCCTGTCCCTGTTCCTGCTCCCTCTCCACACCCTGTCCCTGTCCCTGTCCCTGTCCCTGTCCTTGTCCCCATCCCTGTCCCTGTCCCTGTCCCCATCCCTGTCCCTGCTCCCTCTCCTCACCCTGTCCCTGTCCCCATCCCTGTCCCTGCTCCCTGTCCCTACTCCCTCTCCACACCCTGTCCCTGTCCCTGTCCCAGTCCCTGTCCCTGCTCCCTCTCTGTGCCCTGTCCCTGTCCCCAGCCCTGTCCCTCTCCCTGCTCCCTCTCCACACCCTGTCCCTGTCCCCGTCCCCATCTCTGTCCCTGTCCCTGCTCCCTTCCATGCCCTGTCCCCGTTCCCTCTCTGTGCCCTGTCCCTGTCCCCATCCCTGTCCCTGCTCCCTCTCCACACCCTGTCCCTGTCCCTGTCCCCATCCCTGTCCCTGTCCCTGTCCCTGCTCCCTTCTATGCCCTGTCCCCTTCCCTGTCCCTGTCCCCATCCCTGTCCCTGTCCTTGCTCCCTCTCCACACCCTGTCCCTGTCCTTGTCCCCATCCCTATCCCTGTCCCTGTTCCCTCTCCATGTCCTGTCCCCATCCCTGTCCCTACTCCCTGTCCACACCCTGTCCCTGTCCCCATCCCTGTCCCTGTCCCCATCCCTGTCCCTGTTCCCTCTCCTCACCCTCTCCATCCCAATCCCTGGGCTGGATCCCGGGGGCTCCCGGCCGTGACGGGCGGGACGCGCCGCTCTGTCCCCGCAGGGGAGGTCGTGGTCAGCGTGGAGCCCGAGGTTCCCATCAGGAAGATGGAGACGGTGGTGAAGCTGGAAGCTGTGAGTGTCCCTCCCTCCATGGAATTCCTGTTCTCTGAGGGATCCCACACTGTGTGGATGGGCAGCCAAGGTGTCCCAAAGGGATCGGGGTCTGTCACACACACTGGAAGTGCCGGGGCCCGTTTTCTGGCCAGAGCAGGAGTTTCAGCTCCTTCTCACACCCTTCTGCTCCATGAAACCAGAGATTCCTGGAGCTGCTCCCAGGGCTGGAGCCCCTCTGCTCTGGAGCCAGGCTGGGAGAGCTGGGGGTGCTCAGCTGGAAAAGAGAAGGATCCAGGGAGACCTTGGAGCCCCTTGCAGAGCCTAAAGGGACTCCAGGAGAGCTGGAGAGGGACTGGGGACGAGGGATGCAGGCACAGGACACAGGGAATGGCTTCCCACTGCCAGAGGGCAGGGAGAGATGGGAGATTGGGAAGGGATTCCTGGCTGGGAGGATGGGGAAGGTCTGGTCTGGAATTCCCAGAGAAGCTGGGGCTGCCCCTGGATCCCTGGAAGTGTCCAAGGCATGGTTGGAGGGGCTTGGAGCAACCTGGGCTAGTGGGAGGTGTCCCTGCCCATGGCAGGGGGGTTGGAATTAAATGACATTTAAGGTCCCTTCCTGCCCAAACCGATCCGGGATTCCACGACCTGTGCCCAGCTGAGGGTTTGTTTCTGACCTGCTCTCCCTCTCCCTGCTCCCTCCCGCCCCGGACGGCAGAATTCCGACGCAGTGGTGAAGGTGGATGTGGTAAGTGATGGACTTTCCCTGCATCCCCTCTCCCATCCCTCTGCTCCCCATCCAGCCCTTCTGCTCCGCTTCCTATGGACCATCCACTGCACCCCCAGGACAGGCAGGGCCCGAGGCAGGGACACAGGGGTGTTGTCTCCTCGTGGGTGTGGATATATTTACATATATCACAGTTATATACAGTTAAAATACTATGTACATATAAAAAAAGAACCGCAAATAACCCCCTGAAAAGGGGAAGGGAAAAGGGAAAAGGGACAAAACCGCAAAAAAACCCCAAACCCCAAAGCGGGTACACACAATCAATAAAAACTAGCAAAAGAAAATATTACTACTCTCCTTGAGAGAGCAGATTTGTGCCAAACAACCACCAGCACCCTCCGCCTCCCGAGGCCTACAAGGCCTCATTAGGCCTCACTAGGCCTCACTAGGCCTCGCTAGGCCTCACTGGGTCTCACTAGACCTCATTAGGCCTCACTAGGCCTCGCTAGGCCTCACTAGACCTCACTCCCCCACACGAGCAGGACTGACAGCAGAGAACCTGTGCCTTCAGATCCACCAGAATAGAAGAGGGCAGAGGCTTCTCTCTCCTTCTTATTTATAGTCTGGCTTGTGTAAAAATCGTATGGAATGCTGGGAACATGCCCACTTCCTTGGTTACCAATTGTTCACCAAGGAAGGCCTAGACTAAAACTGTCACAGGAATGCATGGATGGAAGGGATGACGGGAATCTGGGGGTGGGGCTGGTCTCAGGGTTTCTGCATCCCTGGGAGTGTCCCAGGCCAGGCTTGGAGCAACCTGGGAGAGTGGCAGGTGGTCCCTGGTGGGATGAGATGAGCTTTAACGCCCCTCCCAGCCCCAAGCATTCCATGATTCCGTGGCTCCGAGGCTGTTTGAGCCCGGATCATCTCTGTGCCTCGGTGTCTGTACGAGGGGGGAGGTAACGAGGCCCCCCCAGCCCAGAGGGGTTGTGCCTTCTCTGGAACTTCACCCACCACACCGGCACCTCAGGAGACATTTCCCTCCTCCCTGCCATCCCTCCCCTTCTGTCTTTGCTTCCCTTGGGCCTTCAGAGCGAGGAGGAGAAGGAGAAGAAGAAGAAGAAGAAGAAAGGAGGAGGAGGAGGAGGAGGAGGGGAGGAGGCAGAGGAGGAAGAGCCCGACGAGAGCATGTTGGACTGGTGGTCCAAGTATTTTGCTTCCATCGAGACCATGAAGGAGGTGGGTTGGGGCAGGGCAAGGGTGTGGCTGGTGGGGGGCAGGAAAACATTATTCCCTGGGATAAGGGAGCTCCCACCCATTTCCAGCTCCTCCCAAAGCTTCATGGATGTGCCGCATCCCTTGCCAGCCCTGCCTGTCCCAGAGTCATTCAGGCTGGAAAAGCCCTCCCAGATCAAGTCCAACTGCCCCAAGTGCCACACCCACGGGCTTTTTGAGCCCCTTCAGGGGTGGGGTCTCCACCCCTGCCCCCTGGGCAGCTTTTCCACGAGGAAATCATTCCTGATATCCAACGGTTTCGTTTCTCCCTCAGCAACTCCGGCAGCAGGAAGCGGCCGCGGCAGAAGCGGAGGAGAAGGAAGAGCTGGAGCTTGGAGAGGGTGAGCAGGGTGTGAGGGAGGGAATGGGGGACCAGGATTGTTCTCAGGATCCCTGTGGATCCTGCCCAGCTCCATGGCCACTCCAGGGGCTCACAGGATGTCGTGTTTCCCCAGGAGGGGTCAGCTTTTGGAAGTGCTTTCACCTGCAGGGAGGGAAAACAGACACTTCCAGGGCAGGTTCTCTCACCTAATCCATCCCAACCGTGTCAGGATAAGATGGACTGTGCCCTGGAGGCGTTTTTCCCTGAGGGAATTCGGGGCTCTGGGGCTCAGTCGGGCCGTTGCACATCTCTGAAGTTGGGCGACATTAATTTTGCACCAAAGATTCTGCGGGCCAAGAATCCTGGGAAGCTGGACAGCTTGGCCAAGGGTGGCTTTATGTCCTTTCCAGCCTCACCAGTGGGGCTTGGAGGGGTTTCCCTGGGGACTTCCAGCCATCCCCTCCACACATCCCATGTCCTGGTGGCAGTGGGTTGTTGTCACGTCCTTCAGCTGAGGCAAACCCTGAGCCTGGTTGCTTTAGGAAGGCTGATTTTCACATCCCAGCTTCATCTGGCACACAGTGTGGATGCCAGGGCAGTTGAAGGGCTGTGCCAGTGAATTATTATAATCTGCTTTCTCTAAATGGTACTTCCTCAGGCTAAAGCCGTGGGCATCTTCTGCCCACATTCCCACCCGGAGATCCCACCAGGATATTCTGGACCAACCCAGCTCAGGTCAAACTGCAGCGAAATCTCAGCTAATAAATCATGGGGGGACCATGTCCCAAATTTACCGGCGCAGTCCCAGACTGGCAGTGCCATGTCACCCCCTTTGCTGGGGGCATTGTTTTATCTCAACTGTTCATGGAATCATGGAACGGTTTGGGTTGGAAGGGACCTTCAGGATCATTTCATTCCAACCCCCTGCCATGGGCAGGGACACTTTCCCCTAGCCCAGGTTGCTCAGACCCCCATCCAGCCTGGACTTGACCAACCAGGACACAGTTTTTTGTCTTTATTTTATCTTCTCCGAGCCCTTCAAACTTTCCCAGTTAGAAGTGGAAATCTGAGGTGGGGACAGGAAGAATCTCCCTTTATCTGCTCATTTTCAGGCTTCCAAAGATAACTTCTGCTCTCTCAGGAGCTCTGCTCATCCAAAGATGAGGTTGGGTCTTGCCGAGCCCGGAGACAACTCTGGGCAGGTTCTTCCTGGGTTTGCTCTCCCAGCCGGGGGTGTCCCATGTACCCCGTGGTTTTCTTTCCGTCTCCTGAGAAGGATCCATTTCCCTTGGCTCTCCTGTTCTTTCTTCCCTCTTCTTCTTCTCCCTCCTTCCCTCTTCCACGCGAGGTCATTGCCATCTGTCTGTATCCCCCGGTGTTTCCCAGCCCCTGTGGAAGCTGGCAGAGTATGGACGGGGATTGTTGGAGGTTGGAAGAATCTTCCTTTGAACTCCCCTTTCCCAGCAGCTTGTTCCCGGCTGCCCGTGGCTGGTGGTTGCTCTGAGAGAGACTTTCATGACCTGAGGCTGCAGCTGGTCATGGGCTCAATCACCCTCCTGGTGCTGAGCATCAGGCACCGTCCCCTCAGCCATTCCCAGGCCAGGGTTTTATTCCCAAGGCTTCATCCAGCAGGAATAAAGGAAGGCAAGGAGGTGCTGTGGGCAGAGTTGTCTCCTCACCATTCTGTCAGTGCTTTGTAGCCCTCCAAGGGATCACTGCTGCTGGAATTTCCCTTCCCAGGGATCTCCAGAGGTGCTGTGGCCTAGCCAGAGCCCAGGACAGGCAGGCCAGGCTGGGCTGGGAGGTGCAGGCAGCAGCAACCACCAGCTTTCCTGCTCCTCCTGTTTATCCCCTCCCTGTCTTCCCCACCCTCCTCACCCTCGTCCCCGTCTCCCGGCGCTCCCCTGGCGCTCACACACCAACCCTGGGGATTCTTCTCCCACCAAAGGCTCCAAGGCCCAGGCCAGGCACAAGGACAAGGCCAAGGCACCCAAGGAGGACAAGAAGAAGAAGCAGCAGCAGGCGGCCCCCGAGCTCCCAGAGAAGAACAAGCAGAAGGTTGACGAGCTGAAGGTGTGTTTGGGGAAGAGGGTGCAGGGAAGCCTCTGCTGCTTCCAAGGAAGTGCCTTGGGACGTCCCACCGGGGGATGTATCCTGGGATGAGGACTGCCAGCTGCTCTGCAGCGTTTGGGGCAGTCGGAGGTCACAGGGTTGACAGAAAAGGGGGTTCCCGGGAAGGCTCATCCCTGGGGGCAGCTCGGATGTGCCCCGGCTGGAGGGGAGAGTTTTCCAGCCTGGATTCGGGGCAAGGGTGGGCTCTGGTTCAGTGATCCCAAGGATTTATTTAGGATTCATGTAGCCTGTGAGAACTGGGCACTAGGATCACAGAATCCCAGGATCACTGAGGTTGGAAAAGCCCTCCCAGCCCAGGGATCCACCCTGGGCCCCATCCCCACCTTGTCCCCCAGCCCAGAACACTGAGGCCTTCCTGGGACACCTCCAGGGCTGCGCACTCCAAACCTCCCTGGGCAGCCCCTGCCAGTGCCTGACCACCCTTTCCAGCAGGAAATTCCTCCTGATGTCCAACCTGAGCCTCCCCCGGCATAGCCGGAGGCCGTTCCCTCTCCTCCTGTCCCCTGTCACCGCATTTTTTCCTCACCATTTGTGTGTGTTTGTTTGTTTTTTTTTAACCCAATTTCCCCCTCTTCTTAACTCCCTCCCCGTCCCAGGTCTTCAACAAAGAGCTGGAGTCGGAGTTCGACAACTTCGAGGACTGGCTGCACACCTTCAACCTGCTCCGGGGCAAGATCGGGGACAACGACGACACGGCCACGGAGGAGGAGCGGATTGTGGGCAGGTTCAAGGCGAGTGCTGGGCCCGGGAGTGCCCAGGGGCGGGGGGTGCTGGCCGGGACCCCCGTGCTGGGGTGGCTCTGTGCCCCCCACTCACCGAGGGCCGGGCCCTCCCTCGCTCCAGGGCTCCCTGTGCGTCTACAAGGTGCCGCTGCCCGAGGACGTCAGCAGGGAGACTGGACACGACCCCACCCTCGGGATGTTCCAGGGGATCCCCAGCAACGACCCCATCAACGTGCTGGTCCGGGTCTACATCGTCAGGGTGAGGGGGGCTGTGGGCTGGGACGGGGGGTGGGTGATCCCAGGAATCCTTCCATGTGCTGGGACAGGGGTCTGTGATCCCAGGAATCTGTGATCCCAGGAATCCTTCCATGTACTGGGACAGGGGGTTTGTGATCCCAGGAATCTGTGACCCCAGGAATCCTTCCATGTGCTGGGACATGCAGTGATCCCAGGAATCTTTCCATGTGCTGGGACAGGGGGTTTGTGATCCCAGGGTCCCTTCCATGTGCTGGGACATGGGGTGTGTGATCCCAAGGTTCCTTCCATGTGCTGGGACATGCGGTGATCCCAGGAATCCTTCCATGTGCTGGGACAGGGGGGGTGTGATCCCAGGAATCCTTCCATGTGCTGGGACAGGGGTCTGTGATCCCAGGAATCTGTGATCCCAGGAATCCTTTCATGTGCTGGGACAGGCTGGGATCCCAGGAATCCTTCCATGTGCTGGGACAGGGGGTGTGTGATCCCAGGAATCCTTCCATGTGCTGGGACAGAGTGTGTGTGATCCCAGGGTCCCTTCCATGTGCTGGGACACGGGGGTGTGATCCCAGGGTCCCTTCCATGTGCTGGGACAGGCTGGGA